CTCATTATTCCCGTATCACTATTTTATATGAATTCTCCATCTTCCGCTTGAATCTGCTCTCAACATTCTAGTTGTTGTTTGCTTAAATTCCTTGCCCCATATAAAAAACGAGAAAACCATGTATGGTTAAAAACAAAGACAGTTATTCTTTCTCTTGTTGTTTGTTGGCTTCATATTCTAATATGGTGTACCCTCCAATTCTGAGGGTTACCCTGGGTCTTGATCAGGTTCGTTGTTATGATGACAACAATGGGTTGCTCATTGTGGTTATGTTCGGATGCTTTTCAAACATGATTGACTTTTATATCAGATTGCCGAACTTCCATTGTATATCTTTTTCCAGGTTATCAATCTGGTATGAATGCGTTTCCGCCAGATTCTATGCATCCGCCAATTCAAAGGCGGAATAGACCAAAGAAACGAAGTAAGTTTTAGCCCATCGTTTCTCGTCACAGGTTTCATATCATTCAACTTCATAAGTCAATACTTATCTTTGCCCGTACTCCACTTTTAATGGACAGGTCGATTTTCCAGCTTTATTGCTACTATGTGAATAAAGTTTCGTGCAGTTAAATTTTTCCGAAAGTCCTTTAGATGCACATACATATAGACTAGTAAAGGCAGTTTGCAGAAGTTTGTTCCGTGGCAGAAAACAAGGAGATAATCTACGCTCATATTAGATTATATTGTGGGAAGTATGTACTGATAGTTTGACGTCCGATTCATTCGGGAGAAACAGTCGTCGAAAAGCAAAAATAATTGATGTTGGTTGGTATCCATGTTCACAATCAAAGCGTAGACTGAGGCGTGCATTGGTTGGAATCAGTGTTTGTTAAAACATTCGGATAAGTAACAAACGGCGACCGACAGTGCTACCTGAATCTATACCCTAAATGATTCTAGTATTTGCATGCTCAAAGTTTGACAAAGCCCTTAATTCCAAATCTAAGAACCTTCTATTTCTAGAACATCTTAACGCACACACGGGCATGTAGGAAACGGAGATCATTGGTGCTTGTATGTTTGTGCGCCAGAGCTAGGCTCGGAGTGGATAGCCCTCTTCTACATAGGGGTTTCATGCGCGCACATTACCCGTGCGTTATTTTAATTGTACTGCAGATTCACCGATTGTGTATATTCACATGTGAAACCGTGTACCGCAAGATCGCTTATTAAAATCAATCGGCTTAGTTCGTCTTTCTTTCGATTGAAAAAAGTTTATTTGCTGTAACTTGATGCTGCATTATCATTTAGTCAGTGCCACACCTAATGTAATGCTAACATGGGTTCTTTTTAGTAATGTTTCCTTTTTTATCGTCCCAATATGATCATTCATAATTTCGTCGTTTTCTTTCCACAGGGTCAGGAGTGCAGCTCGGTTCAGACGGAATGGGCACAACGGGTATGTCCTGTAGCCGCCTGATTTTTCTCATTCCCATTGTTTTATGTGCATCCTTGGGGATTTTAACTGGTGGTCAAGCAGTTTAGGTCAATGTTGCCACTGCGTAGCCATCCACAAGGTTAGAGACGCAAACTTTGCAAACACCGTCCAATCCCTGACAATAAACAGCTTTGCCATCTCTCTCTCGGCTTAACGCCACGTTTTTTTTACCAAAGCCTCTTTTGGATTGTCTTTTTTTATGCTCATGACGGATTCACCTAATCGTTATCCGGTTTTCCTTTTTCACTGCTCATCTACCCGGCGTACGTAATAAAGTAAGTGACCAGGTGTAAGCTGGGATTGCTGCCGACATTTTCATCTAGTTGCCTGACCCGATGTACAGTAGTTTTTTAATTCATCAGTAAATGCCTTGGCTTGCTGTCTTTATCGCTTACAAATATGGGGCCGATCATATGATATGATTCACCGGCAAAGCATCGACTGGTAGCTCGTGTTCAAATATCACCGTCAACGCCCAGTTTTTTTTTTCACGACCGCCACGTAGTCCACCTGTCGCCTCCGAGTTGGCTCTTCACACGTTACGGCATAGACCGGACACCAAAAGCTTTGCGGTTACAGGTATTAGGATCAGTGGAGAATATTTTCTGAAAAAGATTGCGTTGGCGTTCATTTTTTTTCGTAATAAATTCATGGCGTGGAAAATTAATCTTCCATCGAATCGCTTTGTGCATCGTGTATTCAAACGGTTCTGCTCGTGCTCATCACTCGTCGGCCTCTCAATCCCAAAGTTTCCCGTGTACGAGTCATAAATACACTTCATCACTCTCTCTCTTTGACCATCTCTCCCCCCCCCCCCCCCCCCCCCCCCGCCCCGCTTCGGGTTTCACAGATATCCCGGTGGAAACTTTGGCCCATCTAAACGAAAACCAAATCTATTTACTTACCGGTCCTTCTAAACAGGTAAATAAATCGAGCGATTGACACGACTTCCATATGCCATGGCCTGATTTAGTTTCCTTTGATCGGTTGCCTCAATTGTTTTGCTGGAGTTATTATTGCGCGCCACTCTTGTTTGTTCCTTTATTTGATTTCACTGTTATCCAACCCCGAGATTTGTGCATTTATCGTATTGCGCTTCCGGTCCCCGACTTTTCAGCTATTCATCAAATTAATACATGGGTGAAATATCTACGTGAAAGACTAAAGTAGGGTCAAAGTTCTATCGTATAACTCGTTTCCCAAGCCAGTTGTCAATGATCGTACTATGGACTACAGTACGAACAAGATACGGGGTAGTACTGTTTCTGCCAATAAGTAAATAGAAAGATATCCTTTTTTATAGTATATCTCACACACGTCAGGGTCCAGACAGTGTGCCGATGACCACTGCCACAATTAGGAAGGTGTGAGTGAGTGTGGTTTGTACGCCTCATCTAGGTTGGTTTGGAATCAGTGTTTTTAGCCAAATCCCCTGGGTGAATGTAAGGGGTTCACCGATCCGGTTATAGCCCTGGATGTTGGCTTTTCGTTCTCTCATTTTAATGGTAAAACACCGCCAAGAGAAGATAGTGAGCAGGACTTCAACAGTAGAGGCTATATATATGGGGTGACCAGACATAAACCGAGAAACCCATCCCAGACCATACTGAGGTTTTCGAAGACCTGAGAGTGAAATCAAGGTACTTAAGAAAATTAACCTAACAATCTTTCTGACGTTTGAAAACGAGATTGGGAATAATTATTCAGCAATAGAAGATAACGAAAGCCAGTTTCAAAGTCATGGAAACATTGACGCAGTTGAGCACAAGAACCAGTCAAAATTTGTCATGTGTTGTGTATTTCATCAGTTTTCGTGTACGAATCTATAGCGTATATTTTTTAGCATCTAAATGCAAACCACTTGTATCAGACTGACAGGAGCTTTTGTGATCAGCCAGAAATAGTCAAAGATTCCAGTACACTAGGAACTCGGTAACAGCTACAGGTGGTGGTAGGGAAACGATCATATCACGAAAAGCGAAAGTTGAATTGCCCTTGATCAACCTGCAACACTGATGTCGCCGTAGCTTCCTTTTAGGAGAAGTTTACATCATTGCGATTCGTGGTGTTTTACTTCAGGCTACAAGACTTGGCCTCACCTCACTGAGGATGCTTATTCACTTTCCATAATCCACCACTGATGCCTTCGAAACATTGCTTTTGTTTGGTGGGAATATCAAATGAGTAACAATTAAGTTTCAGGTGTTAATGGTCGTTCTCTGAAACAAGTCGCTTTATATTGCCCCTCGTGACTCGGTCATGTCAGTGTATATCTTCGGATCGTCTCGTTTCGCACCTGCTGGAAAAGGCCAGAAGAAGCGATGCGGTGATCAGGCCATGGCTTGGCGCAGGGTTATGAAAAATTTAGCTTCAGTATAGGCTGGTGCAGCTTGCTTTCCAGATTGAGTCCCAAGCTATGAAAACAATCGGTCGTTAGAAAGCATAGAGAACAAAATTGATGAGAGCAGAACCCAGTTCCGTGAATGCTGTTTCATCCAATATCTCTCATGACATCTCACCTATTCCGGTTTTTATCAGAAACAGATGCAGTAACACTCAGTAGCAGATCACTCCGTTATGGTGCTCTGTCCGTTATCTGTGAGTGGTAATTCCCTGAGCTGGTAACACGGTTTTTCATGTGCCCATGTATATCTGTAGCTGAAATGTGATCAGTATTCCGCTTTCTCAACTCTCGTGTCGAGATTTCTGCCCCACGACGATCTTCTCCAACATTTAATGTGTTCCTTCTACTCCGTTCATTTGTTCATTTGTCCCTTCTCAACTTTCCCCCCATTCCGTCAGCCCTTCTTGTGTCGAGTTTGTGGTTGTCATTTCTCATCCGTGGGAAGCAGTCTGCATCATGCAAACCAACCGGAACACACGGCCAATCTACAGGTTGGTGACTCCTTACATCTTTTTGCTGTCCCCTTTCCTGCCACCATTGGGTGGCTATTTCCACTCAGTGTTGCACACAGGCACACCGACAGATTCACTCTCCACCCATCCACTGCATTGCTCTTCTCTTCAGCTTTACAGCTTTCGTTCAGCCGTGAACCGTATTCACCAATCCCCGTTTTACTCTGTGTTTATCGTATTCATTTACTTAAATGTTTTATCTCCAGTTCAATGAGATCTGTAAGGGACTGCATACGGATGATGATATCTGCTAGTATAATAGTGCCGTGAGCATACTGCGGATCTTTTAATTTAGTTCACTTTTTGCAACAAAACACTCGGATCAGTCATGAATGCGAATTTTCATTGGCTACCATATACGACATATATACTGCATCACCAGTTCCCGAAACTCGATGTTCTAATTTTATCAGGCAATTAAAAATGTTTAACCTCCTTTATTTACTATGCATTCAACTGATATGCATGCTACAGTTCAGTTTCAGTTTTTACAGCTAATAAACACGCAACTTTGTGCGGTTTTGGTTACTGTCTTTAGGCTACTCATTTAGATAAAAGAGTAAAAAGAAGTTTAGAATGTCGGCCAATGCCAACCGAGCTTCATGTATGCGTGCCGACATTTCATATGTGACGGTTCCGCCAGGTGAAATAAAGCTGTCCAAATAACAAAGTTTGTCTACATTCCCTACTACTTCCCAAGTTAGGGTGAAATTGGGGCTTAGGCCCACCCAATCTTGCAGCAACATTTAGCCCTTTGAGGGTGCAAAACGAATGCCAAACATGGGCACACCAGCACACAGATCATCCAGAAAAGCTCGCAGTTTATCTGAATTTTCATGTAGTACCATGTAGTTTCCATACTCCATATCAGACAGTTTGCTACCTGGGAGCAATTTCCAATATCTCCCACGAGGACAGGACTGTTTCCAGAACCAAATAAACTGCAAGAACCACCCAAAACACCATATTGGACAAACTGGTCGAAAATTGTCAATGAGGATCCGTCAGCGACAATCGGCAGCCAGGAGACATGACCCACTATCGTTGAGTTCCCTCCACGAAGATCAAGACATCAGTTTGACTTCGAATCAGTGAAAATTATCAACCAGGCCCGGTCAAAACACGCCAGAGAATTTATCGAGGCACTCTTCAACCAACTCAATAAATGGGCACATCGAACTGGATCACGTGTACATGCCAGTGCAATTCAAGGATCAAATGACGCAACAAAACAGGTCACACCGTGACCTGAGCACGGACCGAAACGGCAACCAAGACAAGGACAACCTCCTCCCCTCACAACCTCACCACCTCGCACCTGTTCAATGGCGAACCGAGTCGAACACAGTGAGAACAAAGGACAAAAACAGACGATGGAGAAGAACACATGTGAACGAACGGGTACAAGTAGGACACTGCCACTTCACAAACACTGATGATGTCACCTCGGTTAGTGATGAAACGTTTGCAAACAAATTGACAAGCTCGGCGAAATGAAATCAGATTCATTAAAAAGTTGACTACAGCCTACTTTCCGTGGTGAACTCGGGTGAAAAAGTGCCGTAAGCTCAGACTCGGCTTCAGCTATTAGCATACAGACGTTGCGAAACGGAGATGAACTTCATCACTTCTCGTGCCAGAGTATAGAGCGATCGATTGAGTCGATACCTGCTTTCAGATAGAGGAAGACAAAGATGATGGATCAATTAAAGGCATGTCTGGGTTCTGAAATTAGATAAGGAGGAAAACCCTCGACCAGCCTATTTCTCACGCGCGGAAAGCAATCGGCGGAGTAAATTGCCTACGAGAAGTGTACATGCAATGTTGATGAAACCAATACCTCAGTGGTTTTCGCAAGTTGATGTATCACCTTTCTTGTAAATTGGTAAAACGGTCAATTCACACCATCCAGTTGGATGTTGTTCCCTCTCCCGTATCGTGTTCAGGAGTTTCGTCAACTCCAAAACTAACGCTGATTCTCTGTCTTTAAAATCCGATTAGAACAGCCCGTCCGGGTCGGACTGGAGGTNCTGGAGGTATTCGCTCAGTTGAAGGAGGATTTGGGAAGTCTAGTGTCGACCGCGGCCACTAAACTGCGTCCTAAAATGTTCTGCTCATCGCTCAAGATTATGATGAATTATCGAGCTTCCACTTACTTTCCTTGAGCAAGCATTCCGAATTAGACGGGAAAGAGTGCGACTAGTACCAATAGCCACAGCCTTCTCCATACCTTTATTCTTTACTACTCACCACTTCTCGCGGTCATTCCCCAGGCTGTTAATGAGCTATCGCTTTAGGGATTTGCGCATTGTGTCAAATTCGGCATCAGGAAGACGGGTTCTGCGGGCGTACAACAAAGTAGCAAAGGTCAGAGGGATATACCAGAATCCGCCGTTGCTTTGATTGAAATTTGTGTAACTCCCTCGATTACCATCCAGTGTTCTTCGGTTTGTCTTTGGACTGATAGGCGATGAGGGAGTTCCGCTTCGAAGACTGATTTGCAGCAATCGCTTACATTGTATTGTGGATATTCGTCTCCCTCAGCTTTGTTGAGGTTGTCTTCTAGGTGTAAAGAAAATCGGGCTCGTAACAGAGTATAATCCGTACCCATCGGTGTTTACTATTTAGTGCGGTGTTCCTAATTTGATCTTCGCCAATGGTATTTGATGGGGATGTGGCCATTTTGAGTCCATTGCTGTGCAGAAGTGGTGGTTTTCATATCGGCCTGGTGTGATTTCCTGTGCTTGACAGGAACAAACCATAGTCCTCGCAGAGTTGAAGTGGGCGATATCCGTTTTTCGTCCTGTTGGTTGGGCTTGCATCTTGGCCGCCTATAGATATGTCTGATTCGTCCATTCATCTCACTTGAACAGTGAAGTCGCTAGGGACTGCCACGATATCCGTTGACGGAACATTTTGGAGAAGTTGAGAGATGTCCTTTGTATAATTAATTTTTTATTTCTGGCGTACTGCAGTCAGTCAGTGCGTACACGGTCACGACGAGTAAGAAGCACCCACGCTTAATTCTGTGTCTGTTGACCTGTACTGAACCGTCGAGGTGTACAGCGTTCAGTTATGGCACTTTGCGCAATCCCGACACGAGTAATACCGGAAGCTTTGGATGCCCGATCGCCTGAAAAACCGAGAGTGTAGTTTCAGGATGGGATCTGATCTGGTGACCGCAAGGTCGCAATTAAATTGGGGTATTGTATGCGGGTTTCAGGGGCACAGCACACGCAAATTGAAAGTTTCAAGGATTCTAGCTGCGACAGCTAGTTGACCGATTTGATAGAGCGTGTGGACATTAAATTCGAGTAAGTGAAAAGTAAAATTTGGTTTCAAAAATCTGACAGCTTCTGGTTGGTTGACCTTACTGGTTGAACGCTGAGTGAAATCCCATGGGTGACGCAAACAAGACATATCTCCTAAGATTTGGGAGTGAGGGGAAGAACTAAGCAGATGTAAAAGAGGGTTTTCCAAATGGGTGCCGGAGACTTTGGGGTTCGACATACCGAACGCATAGTCCTGATCTATTTGCAGCGGAACCACCCGCATGTAAAGGCAAATCAAATGCAATGATGTTAATCGCGTCGCGTAGAATAACTGGGACGCGATACGTCGTGGTCAATCAAATGAAACTTACCTCCTACCACTTCAAGTTTTCAAGGACGCACATCCACGAACGCAGACCTAAATGATGTCGCAGTCCGATCTCGGAAGTTAGCGAATTCTCTTCTGATGTGGGCGAATTCGGGAACATCAGCGTACAATAAAGTGTAGTAATGCATACGCATAGACGAGAAATTGATTCCCAGCCTCGGCACCAGGTTCCCGGAAGACAGGTGACCTATCCGTGACATTTCAGACGCAATGTTAGTGACTCTCACCCCTGCATCATTTAGGGGCATACTAACAAACTCCTAAACATCTCATACGCTTTGGTTGTAGAATTAGTGGTTGAACGATAGAGTCCATTGTGTCAAAGCTACTGAAATGAATCAGTTTTGGTTATTACCTCCAGCGCTCATTTTAACTAGAGGCTTATTATTGGACGAGTTTTGTCTTTTTTGTAGTCCTATGAATGATTGATTGGTAGTTTGGTAGTGGTAATAATCCGTTGTATTTCCCCCGGTTACCTCGTGCGTGATGACATGTGTTGTACCGATTCAATTTCTGCTTTGAGTCCAGTAATAGAACATTGATTTTTCTCACTTCGTCTAGGCGGCTCACATCACACCGGTCCTGTTGCATCTTCCACCAGTCTGTGAGGCACATCGTTCAGCACTCAATCGGGAATTAACCTCCGCCTCACAGGGTGTACTGATTAATGCGACAGAACTGAAACGACGTCAACAATTTGCTGACCATCTTATCTGCTGGCTAGAGCACCGCATTCAAAGTAAGCTCCAGAATTCAATGTTCGGCAAGTCGCTTAACTGAACAGTTTGTGATTGTTACACCCCAAGGGCAGCGGTGGTTAGCAAAATAACCCTAGATGATCCTAAGTTCGAACCCTTCCACCGCCACCCATTTACCCATTATTTGTATTTCCCCAGAAGGCCGTTGTATGTTAGCAGCCCCTGTTTTGAAAGCCTTGGTGTGGTCGGGGGTGGGAGTCTAGGGTTGCAACTGGTCACCCTTCCCTTGCACCTCGCGAAATGCTCCCAGACGATCAAGAAACTCAAATAGCCTCTGCTGAGGAAGCTCAACTCACTGACTTCTCGTGGCGGAAGTGTTTTTCCACCCAAGTTCTCACACCACCCCACCTCTCTGCGGGTCAG